TTATGAAAAAAAAATCAAGTGAATCCTATATTAAGAAAGTTAAGAAAAACTTTTTATTTTTAAAAATATATGAAAAAGATTACTTATATTGTGAAAAACAAAAAATTCTTTTTTTATCGTAATATTAACATATAAAAATATGAAAACAACCCTAAAAAATTCAATTAACCTCAACCAAACGCACCCTAGTTATTGTCTTCCAGCGTGCAACCATTTTGCACGTGCTAGTTAGGACTACAACTATTGGTGCTTCCAGGTTTCCACTACTATCACTCTCTTCATTCTCCTCCACCCACGCAGGGACAGAGACTATCTTCTCTATTGTGGCGATCATCGGCGCTTTGAATCTCCCGTCGACCAGCTAATGGAGACTCCTTATCCGATACCCATCTCTCCATCTCGGACCCGCGTCGGATGGATCGGCATCGGGATCATGGGAGAAGCAATGGCGGGTCACGTCCTCTCTGCCGGCTACTCCCTCACCGTCTACGTTCGGACTCCGTCTAAAGCCTCTTCTCTCGTTTCCCGTGGTGCTCATCTCGCAACCTCTCCGCAAGAACTGGCTCAGAGGTCCGACGTTGTCTTTACAATGGTGGGTAACCCGCACGATGTTCGACAAATTGTCTTAGAGAAAAATGGGCTTCTATCGGGCCTCAATCCCGGCGCTGTCATCGTGGACACCACCAGCAGCAGCCCTCCTCTCGCGCGCGAGATCTTCTCTTCTTGCCGCGCAAAAGGTTGCTGGTCTGTTGATGCCCCAGTTTCCGGTGGTGACACTGGCGCCAGAGATGCGAAACTGGCAATTTTCCCTGCAGGCGACAGAGAAGTAGTACAGTGGTTAACGCCACTGTTTAATCTGATGGGGAGAGCAACTTATATGGGCGAGGCTGGATGCGGGCAGGCTTGCAAGATAGGGAATCAGATAATCGTGGGGGCTAACCTGTTGGGGTTGAGTGAGGGGTTTGTGTTTGCAGAAAAGGCTGGGTTAGATGTGCGGAAGTTTATGGAGGCGGTGAGAGGCGGGGCGGCAGGGTCGATGGCGATGGAAATATGGGGGGATAGGGTGATCGGGAGGGACTTTAGGCCAGGTGGTTTTTCAGAGTACATGGTAAAGGATTTGGGAATGGGGGTGGATGTGGTGGAGGAGGAGGATGATAAGAGGGTAGCAGCATTGCCAGGGGCAGCGTTAAGCAAGCAGCTGTACTCGGCAATGGTGGCCAATGGAGATGGGAAGCTTGGAAGTCAAGCACTCATAACTGTTGTGGAGAGGATCAATGGAAAGTGAGCTTGCATTCTGCCTCTGTTAGCGGAGAATAATGTAAAAATGTGTGTGCCTTAAATTATCATCAGAAATGGATTTACAAGGGTGAACTTTGCTGTTTCTGCCTGGTTTATAATGCGAATGTATTAATAAATTCCATATGTCACAAAGTACTACTTCAGTTTCAAATTATTTGGAGTTGCAGTTTTGGAGTGTTTTTTCGGTCATTATCTAATTAGAAACAGGCCAAACTCTATGTTAACATCCTTGGAATTATTTATAATGGAATTTTTTAATATATGTCTTTAAGGCATAGATTAAATCTTATTAAATATAGTATTTGTAATTAATTATATATAAAAATTTATATTAAATTTAATTAAAATAGAATATAAAATTAAAATATAATATTATATTGGCATTTGAAGTTAATAAAAAAAATATGAATTTAATATAAAAATTTATGTAAAATTAATTACAAATACTAAAATTAATGGCATCTGGGCCTTACGGCCCAACAGTTATAAGTCGACTTATAAGGTGCATCTTTCAATCCAAAGGTTAGGGTTGAAACCTCCACCCCCATATTTGTAACCCTGTTAAAAAAAAAAAAAAGATAATGAAATTAATGAATCTTAATTTGTGTTCTTAAAACAGGATCAAACAAATCCTTTTACAATTAATACCTTTTGAAATTTTCACTTTCAATGAACGAAGTTGTGTGTTTGTTACAATCTATTAAATATTAGGCTCTGTGGCATGATTTTTCGTCTGTGGCTGATAGGTAGATAATCTAGAATGAGGTGAGAAGAAAGAAAAGAAAAATGGAAATTAATGGGACCATGAGTCATCTTCAACCTCACCTCTCCCTGTTTCTCTTTCATTCTCACCACCAGTTTCCTTTTCTCCCCTCTCCACATCTATGCATATGTCACCACCATTTTTCTTAGTTATGATTATAATAACTTTAATTATTCATTCTACCATTAAAAAAAATTTCTTTATTTTTACTTATTTCTTTTTGTAAGGTTAATATTGATAAAACTATAAATTTTCCCTAGCTTATTTTCCATTAATCCTTTCTATCACAGTTTTAACGCCATGAATGCCAATCTTGGCGTCTCCGTTGGCTACCATTGCCGAATACAACTGCTTCGTCAATTCCGCGCCAGGCACTGCCACCGTCCTCTGTTCGTCTGTCTCCTCCAGAGAGTCCAAAGCCATTCCTAAATCTTTCACCACATACTCAGCAAACGCTGTTGGCCGGTAGTCTTTCCTGATCATCCTCTCCCCGAACAAATCCATCAGCCTCGACCCCGCGGTCCCTTCCCTCACTGCGTCCAGAAACTTATTCAAATACAGCCCCGCTCGCTCCGCGAACACCAACCCTTCACTCAATCCTACCAGGACTGCACTTGCGGCGATCTGATTCGCCAACTTGCAACTCTGCCCGCATCCAGCCTCACCCATGTAGGTGACTTCTCCCATGATATCAAACAATGGCTTTAACCACGCCACCACAGCACCATCGCCGCCAGCAAATATAGCCAGTTTCCCTTCTCTTGCGCCGACATCAGTCCCAGAGACTGGCGCATCCACTGACCAGCATCCTTTTGCTCGTGCTGCAGCGAACATCTCCCGCGCCAGAGCAGGGTGACTAGCCGTCATGTCAACGACGACCCCTCCAGGATTTAACCCTGGAAGAACACCGTTTGGTCCGAGAGTCACCTCCCTGACATCTCTAGAGTTGCCCACAATAGTAAAAACGACATCGGAACGTCGAGCGACTTCTATTGGGGAGGAGACAACGTGAGCACCTTGTGACTGCAGAGCAAGAGCTTTTTCAATGGTGCGATTGTAGACGGTGAGGGAGTAACCGGCGGCGAGGAGACGGGAGGCCATGAGAGATCCCATGATGCCTGTGCCAATCCATCCAAGGCGGGTCTGGGAAGGAATGACGGGTTTTGGGTAGGGAGTTGCCATGTGGGAACAGAAGAAGAGAAGGAAATGGATACAGAGATCTTGTTGTTGGTGAATCAATAGTGAAGATGAACTGAGATCGGAGCTCTTACTGTCTCAGGAACGGAAACTCGTGAATTTATGGGGGATGGAGGGAAGGGGTTTGAACACTAACCTCATGAGGTTTTCACCGGACAAACGGGATGCAATGCCAATTGGGCTGCATGCCCAAAGTGCGAGCGGACGGAAACACGTCGACGGTCCACGTAAACAAGACTTTCTAAAACAGACACTTCGCATAATGTAGAACAGTAGAAGGGGAAATTTCTACAAATGTCGCCATGTCGATTTATCCTTAACTTGGGCCAAGGTTTGGGCCCAGATTTAGGTGCACATTGCCTAGTTATAATATCCCATAAAGAAATATGCCTCTTTCGAAGATTAAAAAAATATTTCCTACTTATAATGTTATCTAATATTATAAATTTATAATATAATATATTATTTTATAATTAAATTCTTTTATTTAAAAATTTATTTATAATATTATATACATTTATTTATTTAATCTCACATTACATTAACGTAAATTTTGTTTGACCTTTTTGGTAATTTAGTTTATGGTTTTTGTTATTTTTATTTTAAAAGATAAATTATTAATTAAAATAAATATTAAATATATTTTATATATTTTTGACATGTTGAATAATTAAAAATCTATAACTATAATTATAGATTAATATTGTCAAATTAAACATTAATATCATATAAAATTAACCCCAATGATGTGATTCAATGATTAAGAACTTGAAACTCCGAATTGAAGATTTCATGTTCGAATCTTGAATCAGATAAATAGAAAAGAACTATCCCCTCATGTATAGCCATCATTAGATATAAAAAAAAACAAAAAATGTCATATAAATTATAAACTAATTTTACATGATATAACTATAACATTATTGCAATGATTAACATGTACTGTACACATTCATAATATAAACATTCTGTCGCATTCGGTGAATCTAATTGATAAAAGCAAATCTTTCTATATAAATAAAAAAATCTGTTAATGGTTAATTAATCACTAATTTATCATAAAAATTAAATCACATAAATAAAATATGAATTATTAGTCCAACTTTTGACTCCCACACACTGAAGGCTCCTTTACTATGTGAAAAATATTTAAATTATGTATATATTATTCTTTTATTTTGTAAAAGTATTTTAAGATGCTGTTGTTGTTATTGTTATTATTGTTGTTTTTGTTGTTGCCCTTTTTCTTGTCAAATGATTAAAAAATTTATAATTATAATTACAAATTAATCTTATAAAATTAAACATTAATATCATATGAAATTATAAATTTATAAATTTATATAATATAACTATAACATTATCACAATGATTAACATGTACTATACACATTCATAATATAAACATTCTGTCGCATTCGGTAAATCTAATTGATAAAAAGCAAACCTTTCTATATAAATAAAAAAATCTGCTAATGGTTAATTAATCACTAATTTATCATAAAAATTAAATCACATAAATAAAATATGAATTATTTGTCGAACTTTTGACTCCCACACAGTGAAGGCTCCTTCACTATGCGCAAAGTATTTAAATTATGTATATATTACTCTTTTATTTTGTAAAAGTATTTTGAGTTATTATTGTTATTATTGTTGTTATTGTTGTTGTTATGTCTATGTAACATTTAATGCTTACTTACAATCAGAACACATTTTTAATTATTAAGGCTTTTATTTTTCAATGTATTGCATTGTGGCTGTAATTACATGTCTTTTAGTCTTTTATTATCTTAAA